CCACCAAGCCTGATGTGGGAGCAGGTAATCGCTTCCCTCCAGGTGGCCCACCCAATGCCACGCTACGAACGATTGCCAGGCTCCCCAGCATCGCTATCATGAAGTATGCGCGCATCCAAGCTACCAGCAGTGACGCTTTCGGGTCATCAAGAGCACCCCGACACGGAATGTTGCCAAAACAGACACCAGGCCGCTCTTGCAGTTCAGTGTGGTGCACACAATTGGGTGCGGGCAGCATAGATGCATCGGTTTGGGCACCCGGAACTTGTTCGTCTGCTACGGTGCTCCTATTCCGCCTTCTACGTTGATGACATGATCAAAATGGTGCCAGCGCTGTTTCGGCAGTTCCTGATCGTGATGGTGAAAGACCTAGGCGTGGATATGTATATGCCTGCCTTGTACGTGCTCATCGACTCCAAGCATCAGGGCACTTACTGAAATGCACTGGATTTTGTGATCATTCAGACGGGTCGGCTCCTGGAGCGAGCGACCGTGACGTGCGACTTTGAAAAATGGCAAATGAATACCATCACCGAGCAATTCCGGCTGGTCAAGATCGTGGGGGTGCCTGTTTCATTGGAAACAGACACTCCGCCGCTAGACGATAGACCTCTATATCCCCAAGACCAGATCGCTGCAGCTCAAAGCCCAGGTGCTCACCATTATTCCCGTCACTGCAATTGCTGACAAGGTACTGTACCCATTTTAAGTTCTACTATTTATATTTATGATTATTATCATGTATATTTTCTATAGAGAATTAGATTTGTGCACTCCCGAATCACAGAAACCGGAAGTAAAACCAAATGGGACGTCTTTTGACGGTACTTCCGGTCAACGTGGATGCAGACCTACGGTTCTGATCAATGGAACGTAAACAGCATGATCCAGACAGGTATTGACCTGCACAATCGCACGAACAATCCGTTAGAGTCATATAACAGAGTGTTCAGCGACAAATTCACAGTGAAGCATCCGAGCCTGGTGGCTTTTGTGGAAAACACAAAGAAGGAGGCCCGTAGCTGTGTTCGCCTCATTGACGACGTGAAGAACCATCGTTGCGAGCCTCCCCCACATGCTGCGTGCGTCGAGCCCGTAATTCCTCCCGATTCCAACGAAGTCAAGCGAAAGGTAGTTAGACGGAAGCTGCGCTAATAGAGCTTGAATACGTTTTGCAAAAACAGTTCTAATACCGGTGGTCTATTATGAAACCTTACCTGCTTTTTGGAGCTTTCAGTACATCTTTATAACAAGTTTTAGGGGTGTTTTAACCGGCGTCGAGCAGACGAATTTTAAATTTCTTTTTTTACATTTTTCACTCTGTTATTCTGTCATACCTTTCTCTTTTGTAAAGTTTCAAACGTGTGGCATTTTGGCGATGAGCCACCAATTACCAGGGCGCTAAATGACGGGTAAACTTCCGCACGTTCCTAATGGTAACTACATGATGGTTCTTCCCTCTATCTACCTGGCCATGACTAGAGCCTTAATGTGCCTAGGTGAATTTGAAACATGATAGCCACGTCCAGAGAGCAAAACAGGACAAAAGGCAAAAAAATGAGAGAGCACGCGCGTCACGTGCGCGGCGTGTGGCAACAGTGAATAACAAGATGAGGGCGGCGCTGCGGTGGACATGCGACGCGATGTGCGGAGCTGTTTGGTTACTATCAGGCAGCATGTGTTTCCGTATCTTGTGTGGAGTGGCCGGTCCTAGTGAACACTCGTGGTGTAGGTGACTGATCGATGTCGCCATGAAAAAGTAAAGCTCCGTGGAGCCCCGTGAGGTAGCGAGGAGGTAGACAACTAGCCAGGGAGCTAGCGGGCCTGGTAAGCTTTCAAAATCCATTGTACATTCTCAACGACGAGCAGCCTTTACCATACCGACAAAGTTGGCCGATCAAGGTACCAACGATCATGCTTCACTGAAGACACTAGATCGACGGGAAAGTCTTGAAGCGGGACGTCGTAACCAGATACCGACTTAGCGTGTTGACGCCGATGGAGACGTCGATATGTCAGTTCCCCAGCCGATGTACGAGTTTGTAAGCGTCCCTGAGCTAACGGCCTGGTACCAGGAGTCTCTAGTTATCTGAAGGGCGAGCGCCAGCGCCATGTTGAGGAGATTCATCAAAAGTGCAGGACATCGAACGAACCGTTGGATGCCACCATAATGCATGAACGCGACACGTCGAAACACAAAGTGCTCAAGAATTGGGCCCGCTATGTGTTGTTGAAAGCGGTTGAGTACATCACAGATGCCTACATCATGGTAAAGGTCCGCGAGCGGCCGAACATATTGCAGGATGGCTAAATACCGGATGTACAGTGATGTTTAAGACTAGTCTACCGACCGGGAAGGACGTCGATGCCAGAGGGCCGAAGTACTTCGTAGATTTCGATCGGTTGGTCGAAGATCAGGGTTCGAGTTCATGCTTGGGGTCCGGTCATCGGGTGACAATGGGTATGTCGACCGAATGAGGCAAATGTGCAAGTTACGGATTGCGGGACTCACGCATGTAATCTTGATGGCAGTAATTGAGCGACTCGTGATGCTGAAGAGCAAGGATGCTATGACAGATGACCTTGCCTTACACTATATCATACTGCAACGTGCTACTATGCAACAACAGTCCAATTGACACAGCTCGAAAAGAAGCCAGAAGTAATGGCGGCTCGTGTTGCTAAGTCCCCTGGATAGCGTAGAGTGGTGATGAACGAAGTACTGGGAATATCTATGAGACGGCTAGTGATTTCTAGTCTGAAGATTACCTGCTCAAGCTCCTAGCAGTAGATTGACGTTCAACCTACCAGACTAGATAATCCTGTTCGTGTGACACTGGCAGGTGAAAATATGGACTCCTGCAACTATGAATGCACGGTTGACTTGTTGTCAGGAACAAATACTGGTCCCGTTCATGTTCGGCGCCAGAATTGTTTGATATTACTGGGTACCAAAGAAGAGTTTCTCTTGGACGATGCTTCCTTGAGGTTGCTTGGTGTTGACGTCGGTAGCATGATCGAACAGTTGGCAGTTGGTCCTTTGGAGCAAGAAGATAGTGAAGGTTTAGATTATGAACCGGAGGTTGGCAAAGATGATGTTGACTCTGCCGACGATAGACTGGATCTGTTGGTGCAAGCGGCATAGATAAACGGCTTTCCGGCTTACTTGATGCCGACGCTGCGCACTACTGTGTCTGACTATACTGGCGTATAGAGAGCTAGACTTGGTGATGACGGTCCAGCTCCAAAAACACCATACGGTGTGAAACTTAAGTCAGATGCTACCCCATTGCGTTGTAAACTAAGGCGTTGGCAGCCTTTACAGAGTGACTACTTGTGCAGGCACGTGGCTGAACCGCATAAATTTGGTCTTGTTCGAGTCGACAATGGTAGCGATTGGGTATCTGGTGCGGTTCCCGTTTGCAATGCAGGATTGGAGAATTAGTTTAGGATAGCAACGGGCTATCGTCTATTGAATAGGATGGTGTTGCCGGTTGCTCCGGCAGTGCCAAATATTGTTGTAGAGACCAGCAGGGTGTGTGGTGTGGTGATGCGACCTGGAAATTCAGGTGGCATCCGCAGCTGCCCTGGTTTGAGAGCCGGTATATGGGAATATGGAATTGATGAGTGATATCATCTTGGGTGGTGAGTGGAGAACTTAGAAGTTGATGATTGCACGGTTGGAAGTGCAATTCGGAATGTCCGATTGACACTCGGTCCGACTGCCGCCTACCTGACAGCAGGTCCTATGAAGAGGATGAAGTGCGCTCACGAACGTATCCTGAGGTACAGCCTGCCTTGTTCCACCTGAGCGTCTTACATGCGAGATCCGAGATTCAAGTTGTTGGAGAATTGAAAAGTGCTTCATTTCTAATCCGGTTAGGGTGGACTTGTCGTAGACTGTTCCCATCTCTATCAATTCTACTTTTCTTTACTGGATGGAGAATCTCAATCACTTCAATCAGAACAGTTTCAAGCTGGATGTTCCAACACTTCCTCCCAGCGGTGAACTCACACACTCCCAACGCTTTCCGTAATTCCCTAAAGCGCGTGGTGGGCAGTGCTTTAGTGAGCATGTCTGCCAACATAACATTTGTTGGGCCGTATGCAAATTCTAGTTCGCCATTGTCCACCGCCTCTCAAACAGAAAAGAAATTGCAATCCACTGTCTTCTGTGCGTCCGAATTTCTTCTGTTTGTGTGTCGTTTGATTGTTGACTTGTTGTCAATCATGGCAGGAATTGGGATGACATGGTCAAGTTGCATTAGGCGAACCACCAATGACATTGTCCATCTTGCCTCTTCGACGCCGTCGTCGGCAGTAATATATTCAGCGATAGTTGATGATTTCGATACAACACGCTGACGTTTGTTTTGCCATGATACAGCACTCCCAAATACTTGAATTACAGATCCAGATACCGAGCGAAGGTCGGCTTCATTGTTGGTCCAGTCGGCATCGGAGTAAACTCGGACATGAGGTTCAGCGGTTGTCCTGTAGTATGTCAAACTCATGTTATTGGTCGCGTCAATGTATCTGAGAGTATTTTTCACCGCGATCCAATGCGCTTTGGACGGATCGGACGCGTGCGCAGCAACTTGGTTCACGGCATATGAAATATCAGGGCGAGTCACACGAGCTAAGGATAGTGGTGCACCAACGGCTTGCCTGTACGGTGTATCTTCGGCGGACTCCTCATCCTCGGTGCGCTTGTATAAAATCGTACCTCTATCCAGCGGTGTCTTCCGTAGGCGACAGTTGTCCATGCCAAATCGTTTCGTCACTTCGGCCGCGAATTTGGCTTGGCTGAGTGTCGTAATACCCTGTTCGTGATCGAAATGCAGTGAAATGACGAGGAACAACCTGGCTTCGCCCATGTCCTTGATTCCGTACTTCGTGTGCATTGCAGCCTTTAAGTGCTGCAGTGTAGTACCATCCCGATAGCCTATCAAAATATTGTCAACGTAAATTAGTACGAAAAGTATATGATCAGGATGGGTCTAGACGCAACGGTCTTCTCGCGTGGGAACGAGATCATATTCCAACAGGAACGAATTGATTTCAGCATTCCACTCTCGGCCTGCTTGTTTCAAGCCGTAGAAGGCTATCTTCAGTAGCCAGACTTTGGTTGAGCTTTCTTCCTCAAGTCCGCTCGGCTGACGCACATGTATCACCTCTTTCATCTTCGCTTTCACGTATGAAGTAGGAATATCACCTTGGTGCACGTGTAGACCGAGTTGATTTGAAATTACCAAGAACATGCAAATTAAGTTTAAGCAGGCCATATGTGCGTAAGCCTCAAAGTAATCCTTCAGGAATTCTTGAGTAAATCCTTGTGCGCAAACCCGTGCTTTTAGGCGCTCCACCGATTCATTTTCGTTTTGTTTTACCCGGAAAGCAATCATCGTGCTGATCACGTTTGCCCCCGGTGGAGGGTCAACCAATTCAAATGTATCATTGTCACGCAAGGTCTGGATTTCGGCTTTGACAGCCTCCTTTCACTTTGGCCAGTGACTAGACGCTCGAGCTTCCTTAATATTGAGAGGGGCTTGAATAATTTCGTCCAGAGTGGCTTTGGCGGCGCTCATAGTTGGACCAGCAATGCAAACCGATTTTCGAAGTGGTTGAAGTGATGCAACGTTATCACATCGACGACAAGATGTTGAATTTTGTCCTGCTGCAGTTGCTGAGACGTCTTCTTCGTTATCATCTACATCGCTGTCATCAATATCACTGTTGTTATTATCGCTGTCGTCATCGGCGCTCATGCGATCGTCATCTTCCACATTTTTAACGGGAACATTTGTTGGTGGCTCAAGAAATACGACACTGCGACTGTGGATGACTTTGTGATCACGCCCAGTGACGTACACGAAGTAACCTTTTCGTTGAGGATCACAGCCAAGAAATACACCAGAACTCTATTTCGGCCGGAATTTATACGTCGTGGATCACTTCTCATCTGGAATTAGGACTACACAGCGTTTCCCGAAAGCCATCACATTTTTCAAGTCAGGACGTCGGCCTCAAAACTTTTCTAACGGCGTTTTTGTAGAGGCACTCGTTGTTAAAACTCGGTTCCGCAAGAACTCAGTGCTTCGAACTGCGTACCCCCATAAATAGTTTGGTAGTTGCGCCTGTAGCTTAGCCGCTCTAGCACATTCCGTAATAGTTCGGTGGGCACGCTCAATAACACCGTTCTGGTGATGCACGTCCGGTTCTGATTCCTCCATTATTAGACTTTCTTCATTACAAACTTTTCAAATTTATGTTAAAACAATTCACCATCATTGTCTGAGCGGAAGGTTGCGACGTTTCTTTTGTTCTTAATCGTCGGTTGGCCACATTCAAATACGTCCGAAAGCACTCTACCGCTTTGCTTTTGTGCTTCACAAAGTACACGGATATATGTCGCATCCACTTCAGTGCCAGGTAATTTCGATTTCCGTTGTAGCTTCGCTTGAATGGACCTGCGAGGTCTCCATGGCAGATTTCGTCCTGACCTTCTTATGGTCGAGATGCTACTTTTGGTGCCACAGCGCGATGAATCTTGCTGAGTCCGCATATCTCACAGGGTTTGCTTGGTGACATCGGACCAACGATTTTCGGGCCTTTAACAGCGTTTGAGTTTGTTAACTGCGGGATAGAGCGATAATTTAAATGGTTCAAGCGTTGGTGTCAGTCGTCAATGGAGTTTGGACGTAGCGCAACAGCAGATATACGAGGTAGAAGTTTTAATGAGTAAAACCCGCGCGTTGTCACCCCTTGCATAAGTGGACGACCATACACATTACATTTTTTCCGTGAACTTGACCTTCATCCCATCGTCGATCAATCGCTGGACCGATATCGAAGTCTGGCAGAAACCTGGCGCGTACACAACGTCATCCAGTACTATAGTTTTAAGTTCATTGGTCATCATTTTGCCTGTGCGGTTTCCTGTAATCAATCGACCATCGGCAATTTCCACACCATGCGTTTCACAGTCACGCATATCAAACAGTATTTCTGACTCCCCAGTAATGTGATAAGTTGAAGCAGAGTCAATGAACGGGGCACCACGCAGAATACCAATATCAATGGTGTAAAGTGGAGATTTTCGGTGTGGTTCCCGTGTCTTTCAGTCAGAAGCTTTACGATCTTCCTGTTTATAGAACTCAGGGTCATCATTATCTGAATTATTCGCTTCTGTGACGGTTGCAGCATGGGCCATACCTTCTTGATGAGCGACAAATCTATCGTGATAGCCAGTCGTGTGACGAAGTTCACCGCATTCTCCACAATGAGCCTTTGAATAATCTCGGGGTTTCGACGAATTCTCGACGAACTCGTTTGACATCTCTCGGTTGACTTTCTTTCTTCATGTTTGCTGATTTTCGCTTCCGAGCGAACAAGTATGCAGTGCTTCCAGTTGGCGCAATTCCTTAGCTTTTGGCTAGAGTGGAGAGTCGAAAAACAGCTTGCTCAATCTCGTTCAAAGGATGTTGGGTATCCTCCTTGATGACCAGTCGTAAAGAATCTGCATGTCTCGGCCAAGCATTGGAAATGAGCGCGCTTAGATCGAAATTATTGGACTCCACCGTTTCCCATCCACCAGCCGTAGCTGCCGCAGCCAGTTACCTTAGTCGGAATGTAATTGGTGGTATGTTTCGGATCCTCTCTTGCGCGCATTCGCTACCAAGATCAAAATCTCTTGTTTCGAAAGTTTAGAACCAAATTTACGCATGAGTCGGCTCCCAAGTTCGTTGAATGAACATCTGCATAGCTCCACTATGTTCGTGATATACCACTGACTTGATGTTCCTTGAAGTTGCTGGAAGAGTAACGCGTTTTCCACATTGTCTGATAGATGCACTCCATTTAGTTCTTCATGTTCTCGAGTAGAGCTTCGAAACGTTGAAGCCATAGAGCAGCACCAGCGTCCACAGATCCAGGGGTGGATGATTCGTCGAAGAGTTCGATCGTGAATGCTTTAATAACTCGGGCATAGCGTTTTCGTAGTTCGTTGTCGGTGCGGTCACGTTGGCCGTTCCCGGAGTTGACGTCGGGGCGCTTGTCGGCGCGGTCATGTTGGTCCGTTCCCGGAGTTGGCGTCGGGGTGCTGGGCGGGGTGTACCATCATTTACACCCCCATAAGCGTATGGATCGGGTGTGAAACTGCGAACCATTCCATGCGTTGATCCAGTGTTGCTGAAGTTAGGATTGGTCGTGGGTTTGGAGCTAGCGGCTGGCATAGTTGTTGTTTTACTCAGTGTTAAACTTGCCGCCGTTGAGGAATTGAAAAGTGCTTCATTTCCAATACGGTTAGGGTGGACTTGTCGTAGACGGTTCCCATCCATCTCTATCAATTCTACTTTTCTTTACTGGATGGAGAATCTCAATCACTTCAATCAGAACAGGTTCAAGCTGGATGGTCCAACACAAGTAAACGTCAAGCGACTAACACTGCTTCATGAACGTAAATCCCATTACCGGTCACCCGAACCGAGTGGCCATAGATCGCTATTCCAGAAAGTTGAAGTGTGGAGAAATTTGACGAGATGACGAAGACTTTTCGGATGGACCAGTAGAGATTGTGGGACTAACTGAGAGGACAGAAGAGCCCCGAGGTCGCTGGGCGCTGGATATCCTGAATTGTGGGAGTGCATCCCGAATGGAGACATCACGGACAACCTGAATGGAGAGCAACCCGAAAGACACACTGGACTATTCGACTGATTACGTGGTGGTACTAGGTACAAGACGCATTAAACGCCAGCGAAGGCAAAGATCGAGTTGGAGAGACGTCAGACTACCTGAAAATCACACTGTAGAGAAGATGAAACCTGTTGGAAGAGTCGGCAACCTCCTCTTGGTGCCCGCACGCTCACATTGGGCACAACATGGCCATGCTGCAGATCAAAGATGGTCCATGTGTCAACATGTGATGTGTGAGGTCAGGTTGATTATCGATGCGACAATCCAAATATACAAAACCAAAGTCATCCGGAAGGTGTGCGACCACGAGGCAAAGGAGACCGAAGAAAACAAACCAAGGAAAGATCAAGATATTGCAAGAATTTGAAGAATATGAAGAATATGAAGACTATGCCAAGATAAAGAATGATTGATAGTTAAAAGTTAATGAGAGTTTGTTTTAGCGCCTAGCGCGCAAGTGGTTTGCAGAAACCGTTTAACCAGGGGTACATCGTCGAAGAAGGCCTCACTGACTCAGGGGTTAACCGCATCAATGACTGACTACGACCACGCGGGACGCGACAAGTCTCTCCACATCGTTCAAGCCAAATTAACTCGGGGACCGGTGTGCTTGGACACTTGGGCTGATTCAGTTATTTCATTTGCAAAGTTACCTCTGGACACCCCATGTGTCTGGTTGGATTTCATACCTTGTGATTTAGCGACCACCCCCTAGATCTATATTGTTGATTGTTTAATTACTAGAGGAAGGGCTTTACCCGTGATCTCTCAACTTACACTGAGGACAACTAGGACCAAAGGGCCCCGGAAGTTCTCTTATATCTCTATATATCCTATTGGTAGTAACTGTTACGGTGTTGTCCCTCGTCATCGAATTAATCAAACCTATAGAAATTGACGCAAGGCACACGACAACTTGGACTGGAGTAAGTTTTCAGCCCGAGGCTTGTACTTCCTGAACGACTTCTTGTTCGAATCAGTTCAGGGCACGATATACACCTTTGGGTGGTCAAGTGCTTATCCACTTCGTCACAACTGGTGCGCGTGCCCGGATCCGAATCAGAGATTTCACCGGATTGTACAATTGCAAGTAGGATGTTAAGGGGTGTTGAGAGCTACTACCCTACTAATCTCGGTGATTAAGAGCGAAGTTGAGAACACACGTGAAGAAGGAGGGCGCGGTCGTGGAAAACTCTGTGACAGTCGCGTCGAACTCGAGGCTTGCAGCCCGAAGAGCAGAAGCCTCTTGAAGTTGTTGAGAGGGAGGCTCGCGCTCGGTGAGCCGTGCCGCGACCAGAAGAAGGTAACAGAGTCAAAGGACGCTTGAGCCCAGCCAGATTAGGAGGAGGAAATCCAAGATGCGCACCATGTCACCTTGGATGGCACCACTGAGGTTGGTCCAGGAGAGAACGGACCGGTTGGCCCTGGAGAAGACTCCCACTCGGACTTGAGTGTGGAGGTTTTGGGTGTGTCCGGTCCAGAAGCATTCGTACATGCGTATTTGGAAGGTGCCACTAAGGATGAATCTCCAGCTGAGGATGGAACTTCGGAGTAGTCTCGGCTGGGACAATATGCGATATAGGTTGAC